AATAGATAAATGATAAGCAATATGGTATACTTATATAAAAGGAGCTCTGGTAACATAGTGGTTGTGAATTGGGATGCTAGCCTCAAGGTCAGCAGTTTGAAACTACCAGTGGTTCCGTGGGAGGAAGATGAGGTTTTCGGCTCCCATAAAGATTCACAGCCTCAGAAATCCTATGCAGTGTCACCAAGTTGGAACTGACTTCATGGCACCACGACGACCATCATACTTATATAATGGAATACTATTCAAGAATAGGAGAGTACATGCAGCAGCTCTGTAGGATAAGCACTGGACTACGAAAGTTAAGGTTGCAGGTTTGAGTCCACCAGTTGTCCAAGGGGGAAATGAGGCTTTCTGCTCCAAAAACGATTTACAGCCTTGAAACCCCTATAGAAGACTGATTCGAGTCAGAATCAACTCAGTGACACTTAGCAACAACAATGCTCATGAACCATGAAATTATTATGCTAGGTAAAAGAAGATAGTTACAAAAAGTCACAATAGTATAAGAATCTGTTTATATGAAAAAGCCAATACAGGTTATATAAGACAGACAAACCAAACCAAACCAAAACAACAAGCTTGAATGTGCCTAGGGTATGTGTATGTGAGGAGGGGAGAGGCAGAGAAAATGGGCATTGACTACTAGTGAATATGGGGTTTCTTTAAGGGATGATAAAACATTCTAGAATTGAATGTAGTGATGGCTGCATAACCCTGTATAAACTAAAACTCACTGATTTGTATACTTAGACATCCATTTTGATCTTTTCTTTCTCTCTTGTTTTCTTAATACCTTTCTGCTTTCTTCATGTATGATGTTCTTGATGTCATCCCACAACTCTTCCGGTCTTTGGTCGGTCTTTAGTGTTTAATGTATTAAATCTGTTCTTCAGATGATCTCTAACTTCAGGTGGGATATATTCAAGGTCACATTTTGGCTCTTGTGGACATGTTTTCATTTTCTTCAGCTTTCAGTTTGAATTTGCATAGGAGCAATTGATGGTCTGTTCCATAATCTGCCCCTGGCCTTGTTTTGACTAATGGTATGGAGCTTTTCCATTGTCTAAAGCCAGGGAGGATGAAATAGAAGAATTCTACCAACTTCTTCAACATGACATTGATCAAACATGCAATCAAGATGTGTTGATCATTACCAGTGATTGGAATGCAAAGGTTGGGAACAAAGAAAGGATCAGTAATTGGAAAATATGGCCTTGGTGACAGAAACGATGCTGGAGATCGCATGATAGAATTCTGCAAAATCAATAATTTGTTCATTTCTAATACCTCTTTCAACAGCATAAGAGACGATTATATACACATGGACTTCACCAGATGGAATACACAGAAATTAAAGTGACTACAACTGAGGAAAGGTAAGCTGTTGGGTCAAGTCAACTCAAGGCAGAGGTCAACTCAGAAGTTTACGGACACTTGTGTATTTTTCTTGTTAGAAGTTTTGACATTCATTTATTTTTTTCACTTATATGTATTCAGGCAATAATATAAACGTATATGATTATTTAGCTTTTATTAAGCCGTTATACTTTTAGCTCATAAACATCCCTTAATAAAAGGGATGTCATGATCCCGGTCATTGAGAAGCTTACTATTTTACTGGAGAGGCAAGAAATCCATAAAAATAACTGAGGAGCAATTACAAGGTAGTGTATAACCTAGTACAACATATAAGGTATACTTATAAAGTAATGAGACAGATTTTACAAAAAACTATTTTTTATGGTATAACATGGGGCTTCAAAAAGTTTGTGGAAGCTTTTCCTAGGCCAGTGCTCGGCAAGAAAAAGGCCACGTTCAGTTCAAGAGCGACGATTGTGAAGCCCAATGGCGAAAAGCCGGATGAACTCGAGTCTGGTATTTCTCAGGCTCTTAAGCTAGAGATGAAACTCGGACCTAAAGGCTCAGTTAAGAGAGCTGAACATAACTGCAACTAAGGAAATTGAAGTTGGTGATGGTCGGAAAGCTATTTATAGTCTTTGTTCCTGTTCCTCAACTGAAGTCTTTCCAGAAAATCCAAGTAAACTGGAGAAAAAGTTCAGTGGAAAGCACATGGTCTTTATTGCTCAGAGGAGAATTCTGCCTAAACCAACTCAAAAAAGGTCATACAAAAAATAAGCAAAAGCGTCCCAGGAGCCTCACTCTGACTGCTGTGCATGATGCAATCCTTGAAGACTTGGTCTTCCCAAGTGAAACTGTGGGCAAGAGAATCCAAGTAAAGCTGGAGGGCAGCTGTCTCATAAAGGTTCAGTTGGACAGAGGACAGCAGAACAATGTAGAACACAAGGTTGAAACCTTTTCTGGTATGTATAAGAAGCTCACGGGCAAGGATGTCAATTTTGAGTTCCCAGAGTTTCAGTTGTAAACAAAAATGATTAAATTAGATATTATTCACACACACACACACCCCAAAAAAAGTTTGTGGAAAATTCCATTATCTTTTAATTCCATTTTCCAGTAACTTTTTGAAGTCCCTACGTATAGCACACTTATTTACATAGAATTAGGAAACGATTTGCTAATTTATTTTTACATTTATTGTTGTTGTTAAGTGCTATGGAGTCAGTTCTGACTCTTTGTTGTTAGATGCCATCGAGTTGGCACTGACTCATAGCGACCTTATGCACAGCAGAACGGAACAATGTCTGATCCTGGGCCAACCTCACTACTGTTGCCACACTTGAGTCCATTGATGCTACCACCTGGCCAATCCATCTTGTTGGGGGTCTTCCTCTTTTTCTCTGACCCTCCATCTTACCAAACATGATATCCTTCTCCAGCGACTGTTCCCTCCTGACAGTATATCCAAAGTATGAGTGAGAGACGAAGTTTGGCCATCTTGGCCTCTAAGGAGCACTCTGGCTGCACTTCTTCCAGAATGGATCTATTGGTTCTTTTGGCAGTCCATGGCACTTTTAGTATTCTCCTCCAACACCATAACTCAAAGGCATCAATTCTTCTATGGTCTTCCTTATTCACTGTCCAGCTTTCACATGTATATGAGCTTACTGAAAATACCATGGCTTGGATCAGGCGCACCTTAGTCCTCAAGCGACATCTTTGCTCTTCAATACTTTAAAATGTTCCTGTGCAGCAGATTTGCCTAATGCAATCCAAAGAGAGGTGACCCAATGGAATGCGGAAATCATCAGACAATCTCTTTGATATCTCAAGCAAGTAAAGTTTTGTTAAAGGTCTTGGTATACATGCTTCTGTACAGCTGCCTCAGGTACACTAAGAGTGCACTGTTTCTCCTCCATTAAAATGAGTGCCTCCTGCAGCTGAACTACATCATCTTCTCCTAGCAGACAGCTACACGACAGTGCTTGCTGTCACTGGGATGGCTGTCTATATATATACTTCAGTATAAAAATGTCATTGACAAAAGTAAAACCACAGAGTAATATATAAACCCCAGAATACTGAACACTAATTCAAAAATGGCATGGAAAGAAATTTTTCCTGCCTGAACTTTTTTAGGCCCTGTCAATAAGCCTAAAAATCTCTAACTTGATTACTTTAAATCACCAACAGGAGTTCTTTCAATATTCACATGTTTAAAAGCAAAGACATACTCAAACGCAAATTTACAGCCACTAGTAGATTCCACAAAATAATCACAAGTACTTCAACCAGTGAAAAAGCTTATTAATATAAGAACAACCGAAAGTTCTAATTTTTTTTATGTCAGGAGTAATTATTAGGCATTGAGAAGAACTTATTTTAAATACAGGAATCATTCTGCTTTTGTTTCTCAATAAAATAATATTTCTTTTGTTGAGTGCTGTCGAGCAGGTTCTGACTCGTAGTGACCGTGTCTGTACAGGGTTTCCGAGGAATGGCTGGTGGGCTTGAATTGCTGACCTTGCGGTTATTAGTCCAGTGCTTATCCCACAGCACCACACCAGAACTCCAAAATGATACTAGTTGCTGTGTGCCGTGGAGTCGGTTCCGACTCATAGTGACCCTGTACAGGGTTCCAAGGCTGTAAATCTTTATGGGAGCAGAACGCCTCATCTTTCTCCCGCGGAACAGCTGGTAGTTTCAAACTGCCGACCTTGTGGTTCGCAGCTCGATTCATAACCAGTATGCTACCAGAGCTACTGCTATAAATTAATTAAATGGTAAAAAGGAATTTGTTGGCATTTTCCAATAATAAAACATTTCCTCTTTAGATAAATGTGTATGTTTCTCCTAGGAATACTCTATAATCACACACGCATGCAATAGATTTTACAAGAATGCTCCCATTTTACAGATGAGAAATAGCGTTCTATTAGAATTCTGGGAATCCTGGTGTGTTCCATAGACTAAGCATTGGACTGCTAACCACAAGAATGGTGGTTCAAACTCACCAGCCACTCCCTGGAAACCCTATACAGGCTTGCTGTAAGTCAGAATAGACTCGATGGCACTTAACATTAGGATTTTGAAATTGGTTTCTAGAGTTGCCCTCTGATCCAAAAGAAATGGGTTTTGGGAAAAGAACTGTATGTTAATAAAAAATAAGAATGCCAGTGATCTGGTAAATTAATCTAGCAAACCTTCTTCCAAATTTAACACCAGAAAACTCAAAATTCAATGATTCTTTGTGAAGAGAACACAGAGCTCTTAACTGTACCAGAACCCACTGCTGTCAAGTCAGTTCCAAGTCATAGAGATCCCTCGGGAGGGAAAAGAACTGGCTCACAGGCTTTCCAAGGTTGCAAATCTTCAGAGAAGCACACATCTTTCTATTGCAGTGTGGCTGCCGAGTTCAAACTGCTGACGTTTAGATTAGCAGCTGACTGATTTACACCACTAGGGCTCTGTAACTGTCACAACTGATGCACACCTATATCCTTATGCAACATTGGTTGTCATAGCTTTGTCACAAGTAAAGATGATCTACAAATACACATTCACTGTAAGACGAGATACCTGATTCATGCAGCATGCAGACTACAAGCAAACACGGGTAGGATTATTCTCACCTTTACCTGCTCTATATGTCTTGGCTTGATTCACTGGCATGGGCGTCATGGGTATTGGGTATAAAGGCTTGAGAGAGTTAAAAAATAAAAAATGAAAATTAGGCTCTTATCACAGTAAGAATGTATCTTATAACTCCTAGTTTTAGATTGCTAGAGAGGTAACTCTGACATGCTTTCCTGATAGTCTAATACCGGCCTATCTACCCAACACCATCAAGTCAATTCCGACTCATTCAAGCCTACAGGACACAGTAGAACTGCTTCTGAGAGTTTCTGCAGTTGGAAATGTCTTTGGGAAGAGACAGTTTCATCTTTCTCCCATGGAGCAGCTGGTGAATTCAAACTGCTGATCCTGCAGCTAGCAGCCCAATGTCTAACCCACTACTCCATCAGGGTTCCTGCATTTCTACTAATTATCAAAGTAACTAAACCAAAACAATATTCATAACTAAAATGACAAACCCCAAACTACAGTAAATCTAGACCAATTTTCTTATGTGACTCTCTACTACGAAACACATTCTCAAATTTAGGTCCTTAGACGTCCAACACACTGTACAACAAGTGCAAGCCACCCTCTTTTCAATACCACCACTGCCCCATATCACTGTGCAAACTTTATGACTTACTTGCACGCCTGGGCTTACAGGTACTGGATACATCATATTTGGTGCAAAACAAACAGGCTGTGTATAAACTGGAGTTGGCTGCTGATGACCCACCATAGATGGGCTCGGTTGTGCTTGAGGCCGAGGCGAAGTTGGGGTGGTAGAAGGCTTTGGCTACAAAAACAGTAACAGAAAAATTAACTACTACTGCAATTTGATGACTGGTTTTCCAGTCCTTTTAATTTTCACTTGCTTTTAACTGGTTGCTTTCAATTATAAAAGCTTATAGAAAATAAGCTTCCACATTTAAAGTAAAAAGAAACTTGGTTTGGTAGAAAGTTAAAGCAGAACTTTGCCAATTAGTAATATTATTTTAAAAATAGTGGTAGTAGCTTTTAGGGCAGTGTGGTGGCTCTGTAAGGATAAGCACTGAAATGCAAACCATAAAGTCAGCTGTTCAAGCCTACCACCTTATCAGCAGGAGAATGATGAGGCTTTCTGTTCTTGCAAAGATTTATAGTCTCAGAAACCCTTTACAGGGTCTCCATGAGTCAGAACTGACTCAAATGCACTTAGCAACAACAACAAGAAGTAACTTTTAAGGAACTGGAAAAAGTGTTCAAAAATAATTTTTCCCTCAAACGTGCCATGTGCCTTTGCTCTCAGGTCAAGAATCACTGCGCAAACAGAAATTGTTACCTTTTTTTGCCCTGCCCATCATGTAAATCAAATGTCTAGGGACATTAGTCTCGCTCATATGATCTGAGAGTAAATAGACAAAGGCTCACAAAACAGGCTAAATGCTTTAGAGAAAGGAAGACCGCTTAAGGGAAATAAGACCCAATATATCCAGACTACACTCCCAGCTAAGGTTACCCAAGGTATAAGTAGATTTGTGTTACCTTTCAGTAACCCAGAATTTAATTGGAACTTAATCCAACAGCATTTTAGGAGGTTGTGGAACAATATACACTTGTCTGGGGATATTCATCAGCTACACGCTCAAATTTATGATATAAGTAATTCTCAAAGTGAACACTGCGTGGCTACCCATGCTAGAGAATAAGATCCCCTAGGAACTGGATTGAACCTCAGCATAGTGATCCTGCTTGGTCACCTTAGAGCAGGTGGTGGGCCGGCAACGTCGGGTGCATGGGGTCCCCAGCTGATCTCCTCCCTCCCTGCCTTCCTCGGATGGCGGCTGTTTATGCTGGACGTGTGGCCAGAGATGGGTAAGGATCATGTGGAACCTCGGCTACTTGGGACAGAGACATTGCCATGCTGCAATGAGTCTCAATGACTGGTAAGACTGAGGAATTCGCACTGACCACCTAAGACAGGCAGCGTCCCTTAAACAATCAATAAATAAGGAGGACTCAGATGCAGACAGCACAGACCCGGTCAGGAGGCCAAGCCCCTATGGGCCCAAGCGTTGTTGACCGTCCAAACCATAGGCTCTGAGGATCAGACTCTAGCCACCTAGTAGACATAACAAACTGTCCCTCATCTGATAATTCAGTAATACTTGTTAGTAATCTCATACGTGAGCCCTGGATATCCACAGACAAATGTAAAAACCTCCCCTAAAAGCCGAGACTGTAAATTCCAATAAGCCAAGTCCCCCCCCATCCAAAAAAAAAAAGCTAAAGAGGATAGAGAGAAACACTGTAAACTGATGATATATAGCGGGGATAGTAAACTGATGATATATAGCGGGGATAATAATCAATGTAATGAAACAAGCTATATGAATGGTTGAATGTGAAGCTGATGATGTGCCCTGTAAACTTTCACTCAATGCAAAATAAAAATATTTAATTAAAAAAAAAAAGAATATTAAAATAAATAGTTTCAATTAAAAAAAAAAGAAAGAAAATTAAAATTAACTAAAAGAACAATAATAATACAAATAAACACGATTAGGCCTGATTGATAATTATGAAAATGTATAGAAAATTACCTTCAAATGTTTGAATCTAGGCTAATTAAAATACATTCAAAATGTATTTAATTGTTGTACAAATGTTACTGATTTAAACTATTTAATGACAAATGCAGTAATACATAAATATAGAATAAAAATATAGTGAGATATGTTTTAAAAAAAATAATAATAATTTTTAAAATATATAAATCTTTTTACAAATTCAGAAGAATCCTGGTAACAGAGTAGGAATCTGAGAGTCTAGCTAGCCAACCTTCTTCACATTAAAAAATCTGCCCAAGATCACAACTAATTAATGACAAAGCAAGTATCTTTTCTATGGCTCAAAATTATGCTATAATGAACATTTGAGAAAAAAAATCTAAAACGTTGTTTTAGCATTCAGATGGCAGGTGCAGAAGAAGAAATTTACTATTAATCATACTTTTTTTTTCAGAGTCTAGATTACCTCAAAAAGAACAATCAACTTACCTGAGAAAAGGAACGAGGGTTGAACTCCTTTGCATTGGGATTCAAAGTGGATTTCCTAACTTGCCTAAATAGGAAAGAAATATACAGGACAGTGAAATCTACATGAAAACCATCCGTCTCTAAAATCTTCCATACTGATTTGTTTCTTATACATTGCTAATAATCACCAACAACTCACAGTAGAATATCTAACCTCTTTATTAAAAAGACATGGAACATACACATCTCCCACTCTTTGATCTCATGAAGAAACTGACCAGAAAAACACTATTGTAAACAGTATGTGATATACAACTGTTTCTCCCAAAGGCAATTAACAAATACTGCAACAAAAAAAGATCCCTTGCCAAAGTACCCCCAGAACTGTCCTTCACATCATCTAGTGCTTTGTAGTATGACAGGATGCTTTCTACATGACACACACCTTAGGAAAAACCATGACTCTACTAAACTTTATTGCCTCAAATTAAGAATCTATGTCCCACAATTCAGTGGTAAGCCAGTGTTTGGAAACCGAAGTGTGGCACTGTGGGTTAATGCTCTGGACTGCAAAGTCAGTATGAACCGTAAGGTTCAAGCTCACAAGCCATTCCTTGAAAACTCTACACAGGGTCGCTAAAGGTTGGAACTGACTCGATGTTACTTAACAACAACAAGGTTGTGAAGCTAGCTCACGTAAGTGCACTTAACTGATAATATCCTATCTTACCAAATCCGGCCGGCCATTAATTAAAATAGTGTTTTGGATGAAAACCCCTTTGAGTTCCCAGTAGGAATATCAGATACTTCTTTTTCTTCTTAGCAGCACAGCAGAGCCCAGGGGGGACAAGTCCCAAAGGCCAGTCACTTCCCAAAGTCCTGTGCACTGGTAGAAAAAGTCTCTTTTGTATTTTTTGCCTTCTAGAATTTATGCCCCCTTTCCTACCCCCGGATGGGAGGGTAAGAAAGGAGAAGTGCAGGGTGCACTGATCTAATTTACTTTCCATGCGCTTGTTTAGCTGAATTATTTGTCAATAGAGGGCCACTCAGACAGCAACCCAAGGGTCCATCCAGACTGCTTCTTAAGTTGGAAAGACCTGTATACCTTACAGAAGTTAATGAAGTCACAGGATGAACATGTTAAATTCCAGGAATACTCACTCAGCTGCGTCTTTCTTCTCCTCCTTATCGTCTTTCTCTGGTTTACACCCTGGACTGGAAGTCTGAACCCCCTGGGATGTGACCTCTGGTCCTCTCTTGTATTCCGAGTTACTGAGGATTGACGGGGAAAGGCTGGGGCTGCTGGGCTTGCTGCTGCCACTGGTGCAATTGCCGCTGCTGTTCTCAATGAAAGAATCCTTCGGGATTGATTCACTTTTGTCTTTGACTGAATCTCTTGATTTCTCGCCCTCTCTACTTTTGTTTAGTAGCTGATCCATAGAATCAGAAGTAGAACTTGGCTGTAACTAAAGAAAATAAATGTACTTAAATACTCTAAATAACTCCAGTAATCAATTTTCATCGTGAGCACAAGTAAAATAATATTTATAAGCATGAAATGTACCAGATAAGGTGGTGGTGTTGTTTTTTGTTTCCTGTACTAAGGCATAACGCTTTTTTAAGTTTATAATTAAGAGATTATCTATACAAGACAAGCATAGTCAAGTAAGCAATCAAATACCCTATCCTCAAAAGTTATGGACAGCAGACAGTCTAAACAAAACACACTCAGCATGTTTAAAAATTCAAAGGAAAGGGAGAAGATGGCTCCATACACCAGTGAAAAAGCACTGGTGGCCAAAACCGTGTGGGGTGTGGGTGCAGGAGGTCGGGGAGGGTGGGGGGTGAACAAATGAAAGTGGACAATGGACTCATGAGGCTGGGGCAGGGATGAATGATGGTGGACCATGGATGCAGAAGGATGAGACTCAGATCAGGAGGAGTCAGAAAATAGCAGACTCACCCATCAGGATCTAGATGGGTAAGGAATATGAAATGAAGGCCATGTTAGAAGTTCTAGCTTCTACATCTTGGGTAAGTCACCAAAGACTTCAAATAGGGTATAGTACAGAGCAGACTTAGAGCTTTGAGAAGGAACTGGAGGGGGTGAGTGAGGATGCAGAGAGAGAGCGAGCGAGATGATGATGATGAAGACTGGTCTGGAACAGGGGTGGGTTGGAAGGTCAGAAGTAGAAAGATCTGACTAGACACACGGTCCGTTAGGCCATCTGAACACATAACTAAAAAAGGAAACCACAAAACCAAATTACCTTCAAGAAGAGCAGAACACAAAGACATTAGTGAAATAAGCGATGGAAGTTTTTCAAGTCTGCAAGCCAGAAAAAACGCTATCAAGGAAAACACCCGGGACAGTTGAAGAAAATGACAAGAAAAAGAGAAGAAAAAAATGACAGCAAATAGAAGCAGCAACAGTGGACATGAGCAAATACAGGCAGCAGCACTCCAGAGTGGTTAAGAACAAGGTGAAGAGAAACCTGCACAATAGAAGAAAGGGACCACCTAAACCTGGAGGGGCAAGATTCCTCCTTGGGCATAGCACAGGCAAACTAATGCCAAGGCTTCACCACGGCGACCTTTGGCATTGGAGTGATGGCTTTATGTATCTTGAGCACCTCAAGCTTCACTGCATCACCAACACTGCTACAAAGTCCTCAAGTACATAAAGGCAAAAGTTGATAGGTACATTCACTGAGCCCAGTGACAATGAACATACATTCTAAAGCAGATTCTACAATGATCACATTTGGGCTTGAGAAAAAGTAAATAACAAGGTTATCCTATGTGGATGTAGGCCAAGGTTCAACCCCAGGTCTGTTTACCTCCAAAACTCTCACCATCAACAGATCAAATTGCTAGAACTGTTAGAGGGATAAAAAATTCAGCACCCTGAACATAGCTATATTAGAGTTTGCAGATGGCTCTCAGGAAGACAAGGGGGGTGGGAGGGACTTAGATTTCTGTCTCAATGAGAGACTGGCGATTTTTGTGAGCAAATGCTATTCAGAGTCATGGGTCCACCAAGAAGGTCACTCTGGTGACTCAATCATGGAACAGGGTGCAATGTGCACGCCAAATTAGCTACCAAAGGAAGATGGCCAGCTTAGTCATTTACTGGCCGTGTGACTTTAGGCAAATAAATCACTTTTACTTCCGTTTCCAAATATACACACCGGGATTATCAAAGAATCTGCTTGAAAAGATTGTTAGAGGAATAAAGGGTTTAACACTTAAGTACTTAGAGCAGTGTCTGATAGGTGTTGCTGTTGTTAAGTGTCGTTGAGTCAGTTTCGACTCATAACAACCCTGCGTAGGTTTCCAAGGAGCAGCTAGTGAGCTTGAACCGCCAACCTTGTGGTTCAAACAGACCTTGCAGTCTAGCGCATTAACCCACAGCACCACACCAGGACTCCATCTGATAGATAGGGGAAAAAATGCAAAAGCTATTAACATTATTATACCTGAAAAGCTCTTCTTTAAACATTAAAAACAGAAAAATGTCATTGCTTTCCAATGTTTGCTTATGGACTAATTATTCATAGGAGACTTAATAACAATTTGATTATTCAGGTCCAAGTAGTAGTAAGAGCAGAAGTCCTAAAGAGTGAATGTTTTAATGTGGTCCATACAACACATATTAGACTGAGGCCCCTTTGAAACATGTGTCAGCTTGGCTGGGTCATGATTCTCAATGGTTTGGCAGTTAGATGATGATCTCTCATGATGTGATCTGATATGATTAGCCAGTTAAGAGGATTAAGGGTAAGATGTAACAACTTTAGTCACATCAAGCCCTGAGGTTCCCCAGGGCTGTGGCCTGCGATACCTTTTGCTACAGGAGATAAAAGGATAGAGCAGTAAGCAACCTATTATCACCAAGAGAGAAGAGCTAGGAGTGGAGTGCAGCCCTTGGGCCAGGGATCCCTGTATGTGAAAGTCCTAGATCCGGAGGAAGATTGAGGCCAAGAAACCAGGAGACCTCCAAGGAAGGCTCGTCCTACAGCTGTTGAAAGGAGGTAGAGACCTTTTCACACAGCCAACAAAAACAGTCTTTCTCTAGAGCTGACACTCAGAATTTGGACTAACCTCCAAAACTATGAGAGAATACATTTTTATTTGTTAAAAACCATTCTCTTGTGGTATTTCTGTTACAGCAGCACGAGATAATCAACATACTTATGTGCCTACCTAGAATTTAGCAATCAAGCGTTAAGTAAGGCTTACAAAAAACTATAAAATGATAACTAAAATGTTTCCTATTAAATGAAGAAAGCTGAGCCTTTGAATATATACTAACTCTAGTGAAGATACTGTGGAACTGGAATAAGGACTGACATTTAGGTCAATAGAGGAGAAGAGAGGCCAGAAGAAAACACCTACATTTTCAACAAGGGCACTAAGGCAATTAATTCAACTGGGAAAAGAAGAGTTTTTCAACAGAAGGAATGGAGATAAGAGGATATATCCACATGTAAAAGGAAGAAGTGGGATCTTGCCACCTTACACCACATAAAAAATAAATTCAATTTAATTTAACCTGAATGTAGCTCTTGGAAAAAAACAGAGAAAACTCTCATGACCATGGATCAGGCAGTGTCTTCTTACTTATGACATCAAAAGCACAAGTAACAATAGGAAACAATAGAAAAAGTGTACTTCGTCTAAATAAACAATGTATGCTTCAAAGGGTACTATTAAGAATGCAAAAAGACAGCCTATAACACAGAAACTATCTCAATCCCATTATTTCTGATGAGGGACTTGTATATAGAGTATTGCTGCTGTATAGAGCCCTCGAGTTGAATCCGACTCACAGTGGCCCTGTAGATAGTTTCTGAGGAGGAGACCTTGTGGTCCAGTGCATTAACCCACAGAACCATACTAGGGTTCCTGTATATAGAATATACATTTTAAAAATCTTAAATCAGTAACAAAAAGATAAACAATCCAAATTAAAAATGAGCAACGAATCTGAATTAGTTCTCTAAAGAAGATACAAAGATAACTGTGTGGCACTAGACTGTGAGGTCAGTTTGAACAGCAAGGAAGGCAATTAAAACTCACCAGCCACTCTTTGGAAACCCTATACAGAGTTTCTATGACAACAACAGTACGCAGGGTGAAAAGATGCTCAACATTATTAGCCACCAGGGACAAACAAATCAAAGTCACAGTGAGATAACATGTCACAATGAGATAACATTTCACACCTGTTTACTAAGAATGGTTCTAATCAAACAGAAAGACAATCATGCTTGCAAGGATATGGAGAAACAATTGTCACACACTGCTGGAAGGAATGTAAATGTGAAAAATAGGCAGTTCCTCAAAAGATTAAACATGGAGTTACCACATGACCCAGCAATTCTACTCCTAGGTATGTACCCAAAAGAAATAAGAGCATATATCCACACGAATACTTAGACACAAATATTAATAGCAGCATTATTCATCATCACCAAAACACCCTAAATGGCCATCAACTGATGAATAGATAAATAAAATGTGGGACAAAAAGGGGGTACTAAAAGATGCTAGGTGTCCTGGTGTGGAGCTATAGGGTAAGCACTTGACTGCTAACCACAAGGTCAGTGATTCAAACCTACCAACTGCTCCTTAAAAACCCTACACAGTGCTATGAGTCAGAACTAACTCAATGGCACTTAACAATGACAGGTGCTACAACACATATGAGACTTTAAATGAAACAAGTCAGTCACAAAAGATGCATGATTCCACTCATACAAAACGTTTAAGAACAGGGAAATTTGCAGAGACAAAAAGCAGGTTAGTAGTTGTCTAGGGCTGGGGAACAGGAGGAAGAAGAGATGAGGGAAGAAGGGGCGACAAGGAAAAAAGTAATTTGGGGAGATGGATGAGGAAGGGGAGATGGGAGGAGAGACGGGGAAGAAGGAAGGAAGGAGAGACAGATGGTGGGGAAGAGGGAAGAGAGTGGGGAAGGTGAAAATGCACTAAAATTGACTGTGGTGATGGATGCACAAGTCTGTGAATATAGTTTAAAAAAAACAACAAAAAAAACTAAACTAAAAAAAAAAAAAAAAAGAACTTTGTACTTTAAATGACAGAACTGGGTATGTTAAACATAGGTAAAGAAATCTCTTACCAAAAAATACTAACTCATATGCTTGAAAGTAAACAAACAAACACTAAACAAAAAAAACTTTTCCTTGAGAATAAATTCAGTACCTTCAAAGGGTACTGGATGACTGTTAAAAAATAAACTGCTTAGGAGAAAAAGGAGTCCTGGTGTGGCACTGTAGGATAAGCACTGAACTGCTAACCTCAAGGTCAGTGGTTCAGACCCACTTATACAGGATCAGTATGCCCACCCTCAGGAATGGAAAAGGGAGAAGCAGTTGAGAAAGGGTAGACACACAGGAATTTTAACTGCTGTAATGTTTGACTTAGTCAGCTGAGTAATAAGTACATTCAATTTTCCTTGTATTATTTGCATGAATTAAGTATTACCTCAAAATTTAAATGAACTATGAAGAGTCTGGTGTTAAGAACTAGACTGCAAGGTTAGCTTGAACTGGAAGGTTGATGGTTCAAACTCACTCCTCAGAAACCCTGTAGTTAGGGTTCTTGAGTCAGAACCAGCTCTACAGTACTTAACAGCAATACCATTTAGAGTATTCAGGCTGAGGAGGATAACTGTGTTCAAGCATGGAAATAATACATTTTGAATGTGGTCAATAAGAACGAATCTAATGTCAAATTATTATGATTTTGTTGAAAGCTGGAACACAGGTGGGAAAAGGGATGTCTTATGCCTTTGATTTGTTCACCTTTTGATTCAGCCAATTTTATAAAGGGAGATAAAACCAAGGGTTTTTCCTCTAAGTAGCTAAGTGTCCAAATGACTCTGGAGTTGGTCTCAAAAATCAACTATGGTCTCTATAGCATGTTATAGTAAATAATGTGCGAGAACAGAGACGAGTTCTCAAGGACTGATGAGAATTTAGCAAAGCCTGTCTTCAAATGGAGAAATGATCTTATGAAGATTTACAACAAATCAATACATGTGTGCACAAAGGGTAAGTCTACAATGTTTCTCAGAACTGTCCCACAGTCAAGTCCACCTCCACACTCACTGCACCAGCTCTACTTAAACTGAGCTTCATGGAACAAAAGAATTATGCAAGCGTCAAATGGCAACCTATGTGCATGGCGGCTTTCAAGGTCAGCAATATTATCTCTTTTACTTGAAATCTGTTATCATTCTTTAGGAATCTCGTGATTTTTATTACCTCACTTAAAGCATACAGCATAGGCAAAGACAATTTTAAGAATGTTTAACTTTCAGCACACATCCTTCCATGTTTCTGAATGTACATACAATACTTAATTTTTGCATATTCTACTTAGTTAGTCCAATATGATACTTACCCTAAAATCATTTTTAAATTTCTTTAAATCATCAATCTGTTTTCTATGTTCAGAAACAATTGGTGATATACCTGTAAAATTAAGAACTGTTAGATATATATTTACTTCTAATATTTAACATAATTTCTTTCAGTAAAGAAAGTTAGGGATGAAAATAAAGCCGATTAAAACAAAAATAACTTCAATATGGTTAATTACGGATTTTTGGCATTTAAATAAGAAAAAGTACTGACCCAAATAAACTCTGTACTGGGCACGAGATTAGGCAAACTATTTCCCAATTATGCCTGGAGTAAAAAAAAAAACAAAAAACCTCTAACCTTTATTTTCAGCTTTTGAAAAACTAGGGGATGCCTCATTAGCCTTGATAATTTCCTTATTCCCTGCAGGAGAGTTCTGCCTCTGATCTTGAAGCCTGGAATCTTTAGCTAAAAGGAAAAAAAAAAAATCAAAGTCAGACAGGAGTTAGAAAATTCAAAAGGGAAAACATTCTAGCTTCCTGTCTTTTTAGAAATGAACACTTCCATTGAAAAAGAGGCTTTTCTACTTTGCAGATATATGAACCATTGGTAACTTCACTTATACAGGCATTTAAGATCCAGGAATGCTAATTCTGATAACTACACACATTCAACAATAGATGACAGACAGTAACAGTACTACTTAATTTAATGTCATTTAGCACTCAGCTTCACAAACAACAGCAGATTTGGAAAGTTCTCTTCACATACCCTCAATAGATGGGGTGACAGCTCGGTTGGATGCAGGGCTAGCAGCTGTAGGAGAAGCAGCTGGAACAGGCATTGCAACAGCTTCTGTCGGAATAATACCAGCTTGGGGAGAAGCAAGAACTGGCCCACCGGGAGTATTTCCAATACTGTTCTGTCTGGGAGACCTGGGTCTGTGAGTTTTAGGGGATAACCTTGGAACTAGAAGAAAGGGGAAAGTTATCCATTAAATTCTCCGCTCAAATATCACTTCTGCCAAAGGGCTAGGTTTCTCTGAAGTCCAAAGAAAGTAGCGCTCGCCGATCCCTGCCCCATTACGCTTCATCCCACCACCCTGCTTTCCTTCCCAGAGCCTCAGGAACAGTGGAGACAGTTATTACTGGAAAACAGCAATGACTAATTCTTAAGTAAGACTGAACGCTCGCTCCCTCCTGCCCCACAACGGAAAGTAGTAATTCCATTAAGATACAATCAGTTGTACAAGTAAAACACAGTATTGTAAGAGAAGCTGGAAAGTGGTTCCTAAGGCAAGAGAACCACTAATTTTTAAAATCAAGAAAGCAACATTATCTTAAAGAGCAGGACTGAAAACCTCATTTAAAAAAAAAAGCAAGAATGACAGCAGACCCCTAATTAATATTAGTGTAACTTCCTACTCCAAATAATATCAGGATAATCAGGGGCAACTATTATTCAACACTTGTCATTTTTCCAGTTAGTACAGAGATCAAACCTATTCTGGGTATGGCTCTAACTAAGAACTCAGCTTTATTCTCTTGCTCTATAGTCATGCTGTGAGTCTCAAAATTCAGTTCCAAGGAATCGGAATACTATCAAATAATTAAAAGTATAGCTCAGAGGAAAAAAATTCTTAAATTTTGAAAAACTGTATTTTGTTGTTAACCAGGGAAGAAAATTTGTCAATCATATATTACATAAAACGAAGTAGATAGTGTATATAAGCTAAAATCAGACATATATAAAGTTGAATACTCTGTCTTAGTTTAACGGTCTGTTTTTCTTTTAAAGGACTTGTGGACTGATTAACACAAAAACAAGCAACTACCACATGCCCCTGGCTCTCCAGATACTATGGATGCCAAGTAGGAGGGAATGTGACTGCAAAGGAGGCAAAACAGTCCCAGCCCAACTAAAAAATCTCATCCACGTCTATTTTTAACACTGTTAAGAGTGGCTGGTACTATACTCCTTAGACAAATTGCAGACAGCTCTGGCTCCTACTTTGGGTTGGATATTCCTGAAAAGGGAAGTACAGCTGGGAATCGGTTTCACCTTCAGACGCTATGAAAACACACTGTACTGTAAGACTTAAGAAAATGTGGCATCAAACAGTGAACATAGAAGACATAAAATACAGGCCCTTCAAATGGTACTGTGTGCTCATTTGTCTTATATTTTAGTGGCACTTAATAAAATTATGAAGTATATTCATGTTTATTTTCACAAAGAAATCTCATCACGATCCCATAGAGTAGACCAGCTTGCTGGAAAAACAGAAATTTAAAAGCATCGCATAATGTTTACAACAAACACAGTGAAAAAGTAATGTTTGCTTGGAATAAAATGTAGGCTTTCCATTTCCTGGTTATCCCAGCATTTGAGCTCAACCCTTTTGACATCCCATAAAAGGACAAATGGACACAGTCATTCTGCTGGAAGCCAGGTGTTTACCTACCCCCACTGACTACAGCCGACCATGTTCCCCCCGCGGGACTGGTCCTTGCCACCGGAGGAGTAGCTGCTTCACTGGGTGGGTTGTGGGGTACAAACTCTAGGCCACTGGAAATGGAACCCCTTCCAGCAGAAACTCTGTGGTTTCGAGGGTGTCGCTGAGCCTTTGGGGACATCCTTGGAGGCCCTAAGAGAGGAACAGCGAACGTATCAGTGCCCTAAAGTCCATCAGCACAACATTCTGTTACCCACGCATACAAACACACATACACTCTCTCATTCACGCCACAGAAGTAGCTACTTGATTTAAAAACAGATTCATATATCTTTTTGCCCATACCAATGTGTGAAATGCCACAAAAGTTTATGAGCAAAATTCATTTTATTTCCCTTCATTTTAAAATAAAGGGAAGAATGAAGTTGATGGCAAGAAATCACAACAATATGAAATCATAACCCTTCAGAGAATTTGTTTTTATCTATTATTTGTAGGTATATAAAAATAAAGAACTATAATCAAATATTAATAGTAGCTGTGGCTACATGATGGAATAGTTTTTATTCTACCCTGTACCTGTAGCTTTCTTCTCCAAGTATTTCCATACTACTTTTAAAATCGGAAAGGAAAAAAAGGCATTATTTGATGAAAAACTTCTAATCTTTATAAACCCCTGTACTACTGAGATGCATGTATATACCCTTCTTAAATTTCTCCCAAATCTTAAGAATAATCTATTTTTCCTGCCACAGTGATTAATTTTACAAACCATGGCTTAAAACAGCTCTCACCTGCACTGCACTGAAAAATTTCCAGAGAATGTGTTACTTATAAGACCAGAACAATTAAGACTGGGGGGGATATGGGCCATATGTGTTGTCAAAATTCTACAGCCTTAATCTTGCACCCTGTTAGTTATTCATTTCTACTTCTCACATAGCTTGCAGTGCATTTTAACAGGGCAACCAGGTGAGAACAGCGGACAGAATGGTTCTTCCTAAAGAACTTGGCTGTGCCCACACTCAGCATAAATACCCTTCTCTCCTTGAGAGCTAGGGTTCTTCATCCACTCCACTGCCAAACTCTTCAGAACATCAGCTCATGCGGCTAGGAATGTAATCGTGCACACGAGCTTAAGAATGCTAGCGCGCCATGTAACAATTTTCTACTGGAGATATACATCCTATCAAAGAATGATTTAAAAATTGGGTATCTGCCTTTATATACAGGCATACGTCAGAGATACTGCAGATTTGGGTACAAATAGCGCATAAAGCGAGTTACTTGAATGTTTGCATTTCCCAGAGCACATAAAAGTTACATGGACACTAGGCTACAAGTTTATTAAGTGTACAACAGCATATTTTTAAAAGCTGTTAAGATTGTGAGAATTATGAAAATGTGAAAGAGACACAAAGGTGAGCAACATGCTATTGGAAAACGGCACCAGCAGACTTGCTCGAGGCAGGGTTGCCACGAACCTTCAGTTGTAAAAACACAGTTATCTGGGAAGTGCAATAAAATAAGGTGGTGGTGGTGGTGGTGATGTGCCGTGGAGTTGGTTCCGATTCATAGCGACCCTGTACAGAGTTTCCAAGGCTGTAAATCTTTAAGGGAGCAGAAAGCCTCATCTCTCTCCCGCGGAACAGCTGGTAATCTTGAACTGCTGACCTTGCAGTTCGCAGCCCGATTTGTAACCACTACGCTACCTGCCTGTACTATTCCACTTTGCTCAATAGAAAAGAAACAAAAGTCCCTTGGCACGGCTCCATGAAATCATAACCTTAGGAAATTCACTCCTTTCAATAATATAATTAACTTACAAAATATATTCTCTTGAAGTAAAAAACAAAAAAAAATTTGCAATATTACATTTAATAGTTTCAATTTTGAAGTGGACACTTCAAAAACGCTTCAGTGCCTGACTAGAAAGCATTTTAATTCAAATCACTGAGAAAGAAAACTGGAAACACAATGTGCCTAAATATTGGAGGGTTGTTTCTCAAAATAGTTCAGCCTAATGTGGCAAACTGAAGATTCATGCTTTAGCTATTATTCCCTTGCGATATAAAACATCACTTCGTCAAACAATGAACCACAGCAAATATTTCAGCAGAATTTAACTTTCCCCTGAGTGGCCACTATTACTGGCAGTTTTGAGAAGGAGGCCAGTTTGAACCTAAGTGAAACCTGCTGTTCAAGAACAAACATCTCAGCCAAGAGCACTCGGCCCTTCTCTGCTTGTTGACAATTTACTTCAAAACAAACAACATGGCTCTCTCCAGGAAAGAGGCTTATGCAGAAAACTTCACAATTCAAAACACAATTTATACTGATTGTCAGTTTAATACACATATCAGATTAAGTTTCACACCAATATGTTGAAATACTCTCAAAAAGACATTAACATTTAGAAAATAGGCTTTAAATTTAAACAGTGCTTTTAAATGAGAATGTGACCTCTCTATACCACATCTATGCACTTGATTCATAGAAATGATGAATTTACTAACAAATATGGAATAAGGTTTACAAGATTTCATGCTTATTACTGACAAGGGCAAAAACTAAAAAACAAAAACAAACTACTACCCCAAACCTAACATATAGACAGCATTTTTATTAACTTGGTGTCTTAGGGTTTGCTTGGTTTAGCTGTGATCAAGGACTCTCACAGATTAAAGTAGCCTTTTCCTACATAACATTCAAAGTGAATGTTTTCCATCCTCAAGCACTTAAATTCTGTACTGAGCTGTAATCTGAAGTCAGCTGCAATGTCCTCTCAAGAAGGCTCCTAGGCCCCCACAGCTACCTGTGCCCTGGAGAAAGAACTGCTCAGCAACAGGCTCACAAGGGGTCCAAAAGCTGGGGAGAGAGCTCCTCCGTTTCTCAAGGCACATTACAGGGGAGCAAGCCCTGTGGGGAGTACTTTTTGGGATGGTAAGGGACATCAACACCGGGCGGAGACCAACCCTTTCTTACAGCTCAGGAGGAGTTTCATAGCTTCATACAGCACGTATCAAATTTCTCTCTAGTCAACAAAAGGTTAATAGAAAATAGCTTTAATAAACTAAAGTTAAAACACGGAAATTATAGGTTATTAAATAATGAAGAGGAAACTATTCTGTAATTATAAACTCACACAGGAGTTAAACAAAGACAAACAGAAACATGAACAAATTGTGGTATTGTACCTTCTGAAGACATGCGTTTAGGCACAGTAGAGACAGGAGCTGGAGAACCATGAGCAGAGGGGTGAGACGGGGGTCTGGATGGCCGCGAGGGGGGCCTGGAGGGTGGCCGTGTAGGGGTGGCGGCCCGAGGTGGCAGAGAGGTGGGACCTGACTGGTAGCGAGAAGGTGGGCGAGAGGAAGGAGATGGGCAAGGCGATGGCCAGGGGACACCTGACAGAACAAATGATATGAAGGAAAGTATAAAAACTAAAGAAAAAAATGAGGGAAAAAAGTAAACAGAAAAAAAAGTAAAATGACAAAAATGATTTCTTGTACATTTTAACCCTTTGAGGACAGTCATTTGATTTGTGCTAAGTTTTAGCATAACTTAACTGACATAAATTCACATTTTACTTGAACCTCCTTAAAAGTAAGTCTGTTTAAATGAATACACGTTCCCAAAGGGTTAATCAGGATCTACAAATACTACTGAAGAAGACAGTTAAGACTTTGCCTACTACTCTTGCTTCTAGAACTGTTTCTCAGTAACCATTTATTAAAAGGAGCCCAACATACATGAGATAAAGTTCACACAATAAATCACAGAATTTAGGAGTAAAATTATTGACTATATTCGTTTTAGCTTTTGAAGCATAATGAAAATAATGACTATTATATTAAATTCAAAATGGTGGCTCCTTAAATCATCTGTGCTTTTCATCTAGCACGTACTGAACCTATGGTTCAGTTTGAAGCATTATTGAGCAAGTGCCATTTACAGGGAAGTAAAGCATCAGGACTGCTTTCTAGAGTCACAGCAGTGACAACAGTTACTATTCATGGCCTTCTCAAAAGCTAGTATCTTAACCTAATTCAATTGCAAAAAAGAAAGGGGACAGTTACATATTCGTTCAAGAGACTGCGTAAGGAACAATGCAACTACAGAGCAGTCACCAACGAATAAATGAAGACTGAAGGATGCACATAGGTCAAAACAAAGCTACAACTGAAATGCACACACTACTTACCTGGATCTTAGGAACTAGTCCAGGTCTCCTCTCCGTAAGTTCCACACACTTGAGTATCATACATTTTCTAGAATCTCTTGTAGTTTTTGACTTTGAAACTTCAGTTCATGAACAATTACGGTTCTTAACTCAGGTAGCAAAGAAATTTTACCCCCAAAAACTATGTTTACAAAATACTCAAATGTGTTCATTTGGAGAGGAATTCTGGAGACAAGGCTCAATGAAAACAAATGAAATTGGAAACTTGGTGTCCTCTATTTTGTCTCTCATTTTTCAAATGGAGGCAGCTAAAATGGAGTGCCTCCTCTTTTCTATAAGCTAATCAGCTGACATACCCAAATGCTAATGTCAATTACAGTACCTTCATACTACCCATATATGCCTGACTTATAATTGTAAAAATTTACAAGCTATACAAGCTACATTCAACCTGGAACTTGTGTTTCTCTACTAAAAGCAGACATTTCTTTTGTTTTAACCTGTTGTTAAATTCATTCCTTTCTTCTTCACATGACCCTGGTTCACCTCTTGTCAGTTACCTCCAAAGTCCTTTCTCGAAATAAGCAGAATATAAAATATACTTGGGGATTTCAAAAAGTACATGGAAAAATTCTATTACCTTTTAATTCCATTTTTCCACAAACTTTTAGAAGCATCTCTGTATAAGCAAAGAGTTAATGAAAATGTATGACTGAGTGTTACATATTGTTTTCTATGTCCAAATACTTTTATTATTTAAAACAAGCATGTGCTTTTATAAACTGAGAGAACCTACCCAAAGTTTCCAATTTCCTCATATGTGGAGTATTTTTTGGCCAACTGTATGTCTTTGAGCTATATTTAGCACTTCATCTTAGCACACAACTGTTTCTTCATGATAAGTAACGTACAAATCAATGACTTGGACAACACTGTCTACTCGTCAGATATCCACACAAAAGTAAATAATTTTAACGAAAAATGCTCCACAAAAATCAAAATTTTGTTCAAAGTTGTAATCAATTATGCAAACTGCTGTAAATACTTAGAAAAGTGTATATTTGATTAACGACATTGACAAATTTGGTCAAAATACTTGCCTCCATTAACTACTCTTTGGTCTGAACCAGAATTCGGGTTGAAATCTGAAGTGTGAGAGGTGGATCTTGATGGCACAGAGCCCGATCCTGGCTGGCCAGTACGCGGTGAATTCTGTCTCCCACTTCCCCAGGAGATGACATCTCGATTTCTTTGTCCAGGAGGAATATATTTATTTTCCCTGAAAAGGAGAGATTCTTTAAATCACTGGATATCAGGCCAATGAAACTTATCTATAAGTAATTTAAGCGGCGGAGAAAATTTGCTATAAAAAAGGCTCAGCATTGAACCAGACTGACTAGCTCTTGCGTCATACCCTGAGGTCTAGCCTCTGGTCTTTCTCATCCCACAGAGTACAGCAGATATATGTTCACTCTCCCCTGATCTGGCCTTTCTGGGGCTGACTCCAGCAAACAGGGTCTGCCTGAAACTTGCTTCTTTCTTGGCTATCTCAACTTTATCTTCTCTGAGATCTTTTTTTGGTTGTTTTGTTTTTGTATGTTTGTATGTTTTCAATATTAGCATGACTGAGAAGTACAAATCCACACTATCAATCCCACAGTCCCCATTTCCCTTGAACTTGACACTTCAGTTCCAATCACAAGACTCTAAACTGCCAGTTCCTTGGAGACTCTGCGTAGCATGCAGCAGGTGTTTTTCAACATACACATATGAATGACAGATCCACATGTCCTAGGAACTCAATGAACCACACAAGATTGGGCCTCACTGTCTCTCTCAATCTGGCTCCATGTTTCCCATCTCATCACCAGTACAACTGTCAATGTGTTTAGTTGTGAAAAAAACCTCAGGGCCACCCCTTTCTCTCACTATCACTGGTCCAGTTGGTTATCAAGTTCTTATATTTGAATTATTTCAATGCATGTGCTAATTCAATATCCTAACTAGCATGCCTCCACTGGTCCTCAATGCCCCAGAATTCTTTCATGCTGCCCCTATTTATAAGATGCCATATTTTAAAACATAGTATACAAAATTCTTAACCATCCACCCTGTTTTCATTGTCCCAGCTCCTATCACCAACTGTCACCACTGCACCCCAAAATGCACCCTGAGTTCCAGATATATGAAACTACTAGTTTTCTGGAGCTGGTGGGATCCTTTCACATCACCATTCTTCTGCATATACCTCTTCACCTGGCAAGAAACTCCTCTCCCTTACGCCTCTCTGAGTGGCAGACAAGCCTAGCATCCTATCACTGAATGTTACCACTCTCTGTAAGGTGTTCTGCAACACACAGGCTATGGTAGTTCCTCTCACCTGGAAAGTTCCTAAACGTTTGAATACAACCTCTAATCTAGCAAATCACATTGTAATCACAAAACTTGAAGTTTCCCCAGCTGGTTGCTGTTCTTTAACAGCCCTTCAATATCTTTCCTTGCTTATCACTGTATCTCCAACACTGGCTTCCATAGAACTGACTCCCAAATGTATTTTCCACAATTACCATAGTCTTTTCTCTAAAAGAACGTTGGACCATATTGCATTTTCTATCTAGCTACATTAGAGGAAGATGAAATATAACCATACATCTTCTCCCATAGACCTTGAGTTACGTATCCAAAATACTACATCATGAGTTCCTTTAAATACCTAGTATTTACGTTGTGCCCCTCACGGTCACTGGAATTTCTCTGAACTGCTGTGTATTTTTCTTCCTCACTCCTATCATCATTTTCCAGGGCCACCCGGGCTTTGTACTGGGCACTTGATTCAATTTCTTCTGCTAACTGGTTTGCCCTTGCTTCCCGTTTTAAAAATTCTTCTGAGTTATCCCTTTCTAAGGGCACCCTGGAACATGAGAAAAAGAAAAAGAAAAGTAAGTATTTTCTAGTCATGGTTTATGTATCGATCAAAACCAACCATTATGGAAGTCCAGAGTTTGCGACACCAGTTAAACTGTAAGAACGAAGGTGATCTAGTCAGCATTCAGTCATCAAGGTTTAAGTATCCTCGTTTCCCTTTCCTGGGAGCAGGAAGACATTTTCAAAAACTGGCTAAACTGACCATTCACCCATAACCTTTACCCTAGCAACAAATTTACATGCTTTATAACTTCACAACAAAACAAAAATATACTTAAAACATAACATTAGAATATGCAGAAACTACATTAAATATAACATGATGATATATAGAAACTACATTCAGTATTTTAGTGGGAATATATCAGCCTACGTAACAACACAATAACTCTTTCACTTAAGTGTTTGACTGAAACTCCAATTGGGGCACTTAAATATTACATATTAATGTAATGTTTAAGTGTCTGATGAAAATAAAAAACAAACGCACCAAAATAAAAGCCAACCTTTCAAACTTACGTATATGAAGATAAACTGCTATCATATGTAGACACTACACCATAATTTTCTTCATTATATCGAAACATATCATTGGGATCCCATCCATTTGACTAGAAGAAAATGAAGCATGTTAAAAACAATTTGTCTCCTTTAATTCATTTAAATAGCAGTACAACAGCAATAACATGTAACACACTACTAAAATTCAGAAAATTTAAAACTACATCAAAATCTCAACACATTTTCTGTCTTTCTTTTTACACGTTTTATGTGAGATGGGTGAAGATTGACAGAGCAGATCATCAGTTTTACATCTAACCAATTATACACACTTCTTTCATCTCACTGACTGACTGCCCTCAATGTAACATCACATTTCTTTCCTTCCTTCCTGTGTTTCTTGTTTCTATTCTAGGCTTCCTTCTTTTCCAACCCAATAAAACTTTGTTCTTGGGTAAATGCTACTCTTTTGATCTAAAAGGTTGACCATTCTATGGGTTGTGTACTAGTGTTGTTGTTTCCCATATAGACCAATCAATTTTCAGCTTTACTGAAAATTGAGCCAGGGACATTAACAGATGTTTTAAGGAAAAGCTTTTCATCTACTATCAGACCCTGCAAGTTATTAAGTGTACAGAACAATAATTTGATGGGCTATTAGTAAAAGTTTAAAACCTTCTAGTTACTTTATAAAAAATAAAGGGTCTTGAAGACAAGACCCTTCATATCATGGTTGCCTCCTCTCCCCTGCCAATGTTTGATTTTAAGGTCACAGCTCATCAGTCTGTGAAGGACAAGCGGTGCTTTTTGCCAGCCCAAAGCACAGACCTGGGTTTTGGGAGGACAAAGGGGCAAACAAAGCCTTCAAGATAGGACCCATGGTACTAGATCTGCACCATGCTTCCCTTTCTGCTGGGAAGGTAGCATTAGAAAGTGAGCACGTAACCACTGGACGGAGTGGTAAGAGCTAAGTCTTAGACGTGGTTTTTTCATTAAGAGCAACTGTAACTCTAGCCTTAGTCAGTGCTTTAACCTAGAACCGCAGTGGAAACAGCTCTACAACTTTATGATTTTTTGAGGGAACCAAAGAAAACTACTGTTTTCAAAAGTAAGACTGCAATCTTTAATTTTTTTAAAAGCCAACCAATCAGTGGCAAGGGGACAAAATTTCACTGGTGAATTGGTTGGTGGTGGCTGTGTGTGGTGAAGTTGGTTTTGACTCATGGTAACCCTGTATAGGATTTTCAAGGCTGTAAATCTTCATAGGTGCGAAAAGTCTCTGCTTTCTCCTGTGGAGCAGCTGGTAGATTCGAACTGGTGACCTTGAGATTAGTAGTCTAACTTGTAACTTACCATGCTACCAGAGTGTAATCGCTTCTTTCTCTAATGTTCCAACATTTTTTTTAAAGCCTGACTGCTGGGTAAGGGCAAAATATAGCGCATACTGCTACCCCCCTCATACAAGCCATGCGGATGGCATATTCCACTCTTAGGCTTGAACCCTAGTTTCTCCTGTGCTACTCCAGTAAGAATGTGATGTCTACTGACGTTAGTAAAACCACTCTTTAGGCCCAACTACATGTGGGTGGGAAATAACAATTACCTAGGGATGCTATAAAATTATGTAGTATATGCTCTGTACCAAAAAACAAACTATGTTGAAAAACATCCAGTAAAAAGTAATTATCTCCCTATTTCGGTATACACAGATAACCAGTATTAACAGCTTTTTGGACATAGTTCCAGACATCCTCTTTGCATATACAAGAATATAGTCAGATTTGTTTCTTCTCTCTCTCCCTCACCCCCTTTTAAAATCCAAGTAGGGTCTTACTGTTCTGCAATGTATTTAAAAAAAAAAAAAAAATCTTGGCTACCTTTCCACATCAGCATACTCTTCTTTTTCATAGACATGCAGTATTTCACCTGAATAGAGGTACCATAAATCTCTTTAACCTATGCCTTATTGATGGACTTTTTTTAAGTTTCCAAAGTTTTGGTACCAGAACAATGCTGTCAAAATAATAATTCTCACTATGTGCTTGTCATATGGATATATTATGGACTAGATAAACTTCTTAGAGCTAGAGTTTATGTGTGTTTAAGTCTGGGTAAACATTTTCAGAAAGCATCTATAGTCTCTGTGCCTCTCTGACATTGAGCCTAGTCCTCCACAGCCTCCTTTGGGTGTGGGGATGCACAGGCCGAGAACCCTCGAGAGTTTTAAAATTACTAATTACATGTTGCCACGTATTTCCAGTTTCATAACTAGGTAAACAAAGCGTTAAACATCAAGCTTAAATTTGTTATATACAGATTTTTCAATGGAAGATTCTATATCCAATTCAAATTCTGTGCCTAAGCACACTCGTATTTGGCAAGCTACTTTTCTTTATGCCTTTACATTCAGGATTTTTCTAATGTAACCTAACTACTATATTTTACTAATGAGTTCTCTTCCTCAACAAAAAGTCTAGAATGTCTTATTTTGACCTCAACTCTAGGTATAGTTAACAGACAATTCAAGACATTATTTTCCTTAGACTGCCTTATTCTGCAGAGTGTTTAAAGCAAAATATGCTGCATTTCCAAATTTTCCCATGCTTCCCAACTGACATTTATAAATTACTTGCTGTGATTTATTTTAATCAAACTGAAATAATTCATGAGTTTGCCCAGAGAATAGACAGCACTTCTACTTAACCCGTAACAAGTAAATAAAACACATAATTTTCTTATTGCCTGGGAACAGGAGATGAAGTATATATTTATATGACATAACTTAATATCATGAGATGGGAAACCACATACAGACCACACAGACCTTAGATTCACTTTCAAGGATACCCACTGCAGGAATCTGACTTACGACATCGTTCTCCAAAGCCTCCAGTTCCTCAGCAGTAGTGAGTTCACCTGCATCCCAGGGTTCCAGGTCTTTCTCTCTGTGCTCACCATTTACTTTAGCACTGATAGCAGAGTCAGTAAAAGCATCTGCAAAGGATGGTTTTGGTTGAAACACCATACAATAGGCTACACAAATACACAAAGGAATGATCAACGATCAAAGAAGTATGCTTAAAAAACTCATGGTCCCAAGTGACCTCCTAGTATAAAGAGATCACTTTTCAGCACTACACTCTCAGATGTTCACATCTAATCCTTACTCTCTCAGATGATTCAATTCACAGATAACATCTCAGAACCTTTTCCCAAAGAATGTTGTCACATGAAACAAATATTAAGGTATTCATACAATTCATTTATTTCTATAAAAATGTTACTTGTGTGTTTCAGAAGTGACCCAGAAAACTGCTCTGAACCCATTCAAAGCAAGATCTCTTTTGTGAAATAGACCCCTGGATTACATATACCTTCAGAACGTCTGCAGTCAAACCTATGGGAATGGTTTTTTAACTTTTCAAATCCACGCCTATCTGAAGTGATAGGCGTCTAGCAGACTCCTAGCCATTCTAGGCCCATGCCTTCATAAAATCCACTTTCCCTGAAGCCACTGTGTCCCAACAGTTCAGATGGCAGGCTTCCCTGGACTTCTCATCTCCATCTTCTCACTCATTTGTATTCTTGTCTCTGAGGAGCACTGGCATGTGAGGGCATAGTGGCACCTGTGTGTTCAGCTGACTTAGCTGTTCAACTACCTTGAAGCTGCTGTCTGGCATAGGTAAGTTTTTCTACTTGGAAATTAGAAGCCAGTTAAAGGCAGGCCAGTTCCAGCTGAGTATGAGAAAAAGCTTTGTAGATATAGGCTGCATTAAAATGGCATGACTACCAGGGCACACCGCCTACCACAGGGCTAGGGAGCTATTCTGCTGTTCTGGCTCTAACAGGGAGCTCTGCCTCCCCCCTCCCCCCCCAGCTAATCTTACAGTTTCCTTCAAAAGTGAACTCCAGAAGGAGTTTTAACTTGGCATTATTTCTATGAGGATAAGTCCAAAAGTATTGCTATAAAATCACAGAACCTTTTTATAAAACAAATCCATCAACACACGAGGCTAATGTTTCTCGACAGATCCTCCATCTTTTATACAGTTCTGAAGGCAGTGTTTCCATCTTTCTAACTCTTCCCTGATAATTCTGCATATTTCCACTGACACCAGGTTTTCGCATCCTCAGGGGACTCATATGTGGTCTTTTACAATGTTGAGTTTTGTGAACAAAAAAAAGTCCAAATAACAAAATGAAGGTTGGAGGGTGTATTAGATAAGGCTTACAAAAGAACTTCTTGTAAAACAGTCTTTACTACCCTTGAAGAATGAGCAGGTGCATGTAGTGATGGGAAAAAATTTCTTAGCACAATTTTCCTGGCCTTTTTCTCATCAATGTTGTTTTCCAGTCTCTTAAAACTTCTTCCTAATAAACCCACATGGTTGTCCAGTGGTTTTTTTTTTTTTTTTCTTAAAGTACCAAGATAACCCCAAATCAGCTGCCATAGCTTACTGAGTGGATCTTACTGCCTTGAACTCAACTGGCTGAGCAGCACCCCTTGGAAGCCACTATTTTGCATGGACCTTACTCTCTGGATCATGCTAATAAATCCAAGATGCATCCTTGGTTATAATTCATTTCATTAAGTAATCTTCAGTAGCTTCAATCCTGCTTAAAAGACAGATGGAAAGATCAGTTCTTTGGGCTAGGTGATCTTCGCACAATGCCTTTAGCATTTGCCAAGTATAGAGCTAGTTGAGACCAAGATGTTTACTTAAAACTGAAAATGCTGAACCACAGTGAGACCCCACCTTCAGGAGCTACGTCATCAGTGGCAATCCTACGGTCTTGTTCCACAGCTTCTTCATTTGTCAAGGTTAATGGTCTTCTCTCTCTTGGCTCATCTTTGTGGTCTTTACTTAAAATTCATGATCCGTATAAAAATTGTTTTTATGTGGGGAAGCATAAACTTGTTGCACAGCTTCAATGATTTAATTAACTATCACCTAGTTTTGTTCAAAATTTGGTATCAGCCCTGACCTCCAATCATTTTTTTCCCATGGCACAAAAAGTATTCTCTTTTGTTTAAGGCACCTTACTGACAGTAAGATTATATATACTAAGAGAACTAGTCTATAGACATCCACTGTTGAGAGAGACATGCTTAGACATGTTTGGAATAAACCTGTGCATGTATGAAATGGAATTCCAGTAGCAATACTTCCTGACTTACCCTGGTATATATAAGGTGCCTGGGTGGCACAGTGGTTAAGCACTAGGTTGCTAACTGAAAGGTCAGCGGCTCAAACCCACCAACTGCTCCTTGGGAAAAAGATGAGGCTGTCTGCTCCTGTAAAGACTGATAACCATGGAAACCCTATGAAGGAGTTCTATTCTGTTCTGTAGGGTCACTGTGAGTCACAATGGACTTGGTGGCACTGGGTTAAGGAGCTGCCCTTGTATAATACACATTATCTCCCTAGTGGGCAAAGTGATTCAAGATGGCAAATGCAGTCAAGGCACCATAAGCCTGGCTAGCTCTTACCTCCTCTCCTCACACAAGAGGGGTGTGTGTCTGTGCATGTGCATCATTCATTGGACCTGTGGGTTTAGCCGCCAACTCCACCTAGCCGTGCTCCACAAGTAGCAAGACTAAGAGCTACAAGCTTGCCATGGAGGTCCCCACAGCAGCAGGCCTCAGATAGGGAGGTAGAGGACCGGGCAAGTGAAGACGTCTGTACTGTGAAAAAGCTTTCTACCAGATACATGTATTCCTAATACCCCATTCTTAGCCAGAAGCCTCTGATGGCCCTAAAAATCTGGCCTCATTTGGAATTCACTGAGGTCGAGTTCTACTCTATGTCATCTTGAAGTTACTGGAAAGGTTGATAAAAATTTATATTTTCCATCTATCCTGTTAATGCTGTAATCATACTGCTCTGGAAAAGCATACATTTAAATAAATAAAGCATTTACTTAGAAATTCAGCACTAAAGACAACACTATTCAAGAAATCAAAGCTCAAAGAAGCTAGAGATTTTACAGAACCACACAGATTTTTTTTCACTGCAGTGTGTGTGTTGTGTTGTATGTACTGAATAGTATTTAGGAAGGACTAGGTTCTGAGTCAAGCTGTGTTCAAATTCAGGTCAAAATGTACAAGAAAAACAGCTTAAAGATGCAGGAACTGGCATTAATCTAAACAAAATAAAAAAGTGACTTCTACACTGGAGTTCCTAAAACTTCATGGAATCAGGCTTTACTTGCTGCCTACGAGGTGGTCTGTGTTAGGAGGCCATTCCTAAGTAGCCTAAGTTGTCAATACTACCTATTGACCTGAAATCTTCTGTTTACAGTACTTGCCTTAGGAAGGAACAAACTGTTCACGTGTTATCACTTAGCATGAAGACAAAACGGGGAATGAAAATGTCAAAAAAAAAAAAAAAAAAAAGTGATTCAATAAGACAGGCTATGCCTTGATTTGAGAATTTCCCTCAAATTCAAAGCCCTCAGTAAAGCCGGGCCGTTCCCAATGCCTCTATCTGTTAAGACATTCTTGCCTCACTCTGGTCACTCTGGGCCATACCACTATCACTAGTTAGATGAAGCAAGAGTTCAGCGCTGCTTTTCCCAGTATGACCAACACTCACTAGTGTAAATGCTGGAAGTGTTATTAGCTATTTTATTAATACCCAGGGTTAAAATTTTATAACACCATTTTTGGGATATTGAACAAATAGTATAATGCTGTAACTAGGATTTATGCAAAGTTCAGAAAATTCAACTGGCCATAATCTAATTGCATTTGTGAGAATTTGCATGCAAATTTTTAACAATGCCATATGTCAGGTGTATTAATTTTACATTATTTACGGCAAGAAACAGAAGCATTATAAGAGCAAGATGCAGAAATACAAAGTGACTATTAAAAAAGTATTACCTGTTTCTGAAGGGACTACAGGTATAGAAAAGAAAAAAAAAAAAAAAAGAAAAATAAAAATTATCAGATGAAATGACAACGATTTAATCATGTGCTTCACTTTCTGCCATATAAATATATACTTTACAAAAATCTCTAGAGAGAAAAAAACGTGTATATATTATATCTCCCTCACTCCTACCCTTATGCTAGCCCAACCCTGGGATTTCACCCTCTACCACTGGCTCTCAGAAGGAACCCTGAGAGCACAGTCAAATTATAAGCTGGGCTGCTAACTGCAAGGTCAGCAGTTTGAAACTACCATCCACTCCGTGGGATAAAGATGTGGCAATCTGTTCCTGTGAAGACTTATACAGCCGTGGAAACCTTTTATACAGGGTTGCTATGAGTCAGAACCGACTTGGTGGCTGGCACACAGTCACTACCAACCAATAGCTCTCAGAAGCCTCCCTTATTTCAGATTCTGGGCAGAAACCAAGTTGTTCTGGGCCAGTGGTGCCACCTGGTGGCGTACAGGAAAAACAGCTTAAACTTTGTCTTGTGTTGTTTCTATGCCCTCAGTTCCACACTCAAGAAACATGGCATGAATTCTGTTACCCAACCTTTCTTTTTTCATCTGAACTCTTCTGAGAAGTTGTTTAAAGGGTCAGAATAGCAGTGGAATCAGTAAAATGCTAGTGACATACAATAATTAATACAACATAAACATAATATAGTAAATTTATATAAATATGTAAATATCATTAACGTAAAATTAACATCACAAACCCTCAGCAAAGTCTTACCCAAGTCTTCAACTGGCCATTTCACCTCTCAATTAAATATGCTTTTCCCTTAAAACCTGTCTTCATTATAGTATTCTTCTGTTGGATCAATGATTAATATTATGACATTTTTTCTCCAACCATTTAAAAAACATTTTTCCATCACATTTCATCAGGTGCACTGTGGACAAACCTCTACACGATCTCATGTCATTTACAGTAGGGTCAATCTGGAAACCAAGAGCTTCCTTTTTCAGCATCTACTGAGCACCTACTCTGCACAGCTGGTCAATGAGCTCAACTGCACTGGGGCTGCTTGTCTGACAGATTCAATGCTCTAGTTG